GAAGTGAATAAGTTTCATTTGATTTTTTTTTGAAAATCCTGGTCATATGTTTTTGTTTTAGATACTTCGTTATATAATTTCAATTATCGATCGTATTTTTTTTTTATTATTATATACAAATGTCGAAATTTATCTGTGCAACATCAACAACACGAAATACAAATTCATCATCACATCGTCAGAATCGACCAAAATATATTTCAGCCTTAGGAAAATTGGTTGAACGAACAAAAAATTGGCAACCTGGACGAGTAAAAGAAGAAAATCGATTAAACCGACTCTATGAACAAGGTACATGTAGTCTTTTTCGATCATTATCTTCTTATAGGTATTATCATATTCACAAAAATACACCTTTTGATGTACTCGATGATTTAATTGATTATACAAAAGTGGTAAAACATTACACAATTGATACTGAAGATCAATTAATACCAAAAAGACCATCAATACCAGCATTAATACAAGTTGAATATGTTTATGAAGATAATCCATCAATTTTACTACTTATTGAATGCATGTATTTACCTGAACAAAATGAACCAGCATTTATAAAAATTAAACAATTATGTAAAATTATATTTTCTATGGGCAACATAATTTATTCATGCGGAAACCTTGTCGATGAACTTAAAAAATTCTATCAATACAATCTATTCGATGAAAATGATATTAATCACGTTCATGATAGAAATATACAAGATGAATTTAAAAAATATTTCAATACAACTTATCCAACATCACCAGATATTAAATTAAAATCAAATGAAACTTATTCACTTCAATTTGCAACCTTCAACATGTTCAATGAATGGTTGACCAAACGTTATACGCTTGGAAATTTCAGTTGTGGTCTTGATCTCGACTTACATACAATAACTGTACCAAGACAAATTTATATATATGCAAGAACAAGTCATTCAAGATGAAAAAGAAATAAGAAAATTATTAATTAATTATGCATTAAATGATTGCCTTAGTGTTACGAAATTAGTGCATGAATTACCATCACCAACAAGATCTTCAACATCAACAACAACATCCAATGATATATTTAAATTTAATTATTTCGAAGAGGAATATGATGATATATCTTCATCTGATGAAATTTGTTATCATGTTGAACTTAATGCACCGAATGATGGATTAACATTAAATGATAATGATATTCCTGATAAACAAGAACAAAATTTATTAACCGGGGTTCATGTACAAGATGAACCTTATGAAATGATAAGTGACAATGATATTGATGATATTTCATTACCAGAAATTATGAAATTACATTTACCATTAAGACAACATCATTTAGATGAACCTCAAGAACAGGTTCATGATACAGGTAAGACTTTGAATGAAATTGAAATAATTTCAGACGATGATATTGAACAACATACAACAACAAGATCTTCTGAACCTCAACAACATAAACAACATCAATCATTAACGAGAAATCAACGCAAAAATAGAAAAAAACGAGCAAGAAGATATAATTTTGAAGTAATTCGAAACATCTCGTCAAAATTTACGATCACCAATATAAAACAAATCTTAATCGACCTAAACATATCTTGGATAAATATAAATGTTGTCAAAAATACTCTATTCATAGGTTTATAAGATGAAATTCTTCGACAACGGGTTGACAACATGTTACATCAAGATATGTTTACACATGAACATTATGAACGAATACAAAAACGTCGACACAAACAAAAAACAACGAAATTCAACAGTCTGAACTCGAACAAATAAAAAAAAAAGATAATAATATAAAAATATGTATATGTAACACATGTGTATATTCTTTCACTTTGTTACATCTCGCCACGTGTTACTATTACATTTAAAGTCGTTCAACCAGTCGTTGTGATTTTTTTTTGTTTATTTTATTTTTTTTTATTATTATTTTTTGTTTTGTTTTTTGTTTTTGTTGTTTTTCTTCTCAAGCTATAGTGTGCGGACACACATTTTTTTTTCTTTGGGGGTCGACTGTTACGGGCCGATGCCCTCACATCTTTCTTTTCTTTCTTTTCATATATCTTTCTTTTCCTTTATCTACATTTTCGTTGTTCTACTTTCCTCTGTTCTATCTAAAGTTGTGATACATGTATATAAGGACTTGATATATGTTATATCGAGGACTTTTCTCTTTTTGAAAATAAAAGATTTAACATCAAGGACATTTTTCACCTCTCTTGGAAATAGACCCTAATAGAGAAGAAAAAACAATATTTAGTTTGTTTCAAAATTATTTCAGTTCCCACTCTGTTCGATTAACATTTTTCTTTTGAGAAAGAAAGCAATCTTACTTTGTGTGGTTAATGATATACTAATTTTCTAATGAACACATATGTATGCATTACTATATGTTGTTTCCAACTTTAAAAAAAATAATTTCTTGAAACAAACTACACACTGCGCTTTAAAGAGAAAAACATTCAATTACAAATGGTAGAACCTTTTCTATAATCATTTTTTGAAAATGTCTGAAGCAAGGAAGAACACTCAACAGGATATTCAAACTTCTGATACAACTCTTCAACCTAAAGAAACAACTTTACATGGTATGTTTAGTCGTTGTGGGAAACTGAAGACAGTATTAGGAGAAATATCCTCAATATTTTAATCTGAAAATCTTCAACTCATAAAGGCTTAACTACGACACGTATTTGAGGTTAACATGAAGTCGATTAGCACTATATGTTTGAGTCATTGTCAGCGTTCTTATGCTTGACAAAACATTGAAATGTTATACCAACGGATATATATTAGATTTTGATCCGCTTCATCATGATTATTTCTGCATATGTTTATTTAATGGAAAAACCCAATATTTACTGTATGTGTAGTAGTAGATGTCTAAAGCGATCATATACCAGAATTTTAGTCTTTTAACTAATATTTTGACAAGAATATAAACATTTAAATATTTCATAGAAAATTTTGAATTATTATTTGAACATTTTTGACGTTTCGCTAACGATGTCGAGAGAAAAGGCAGTGAATAAAGAAAGATTGACAAATTGAACTACTGATATAAAATAAACAAAACTGAATTATTGTGCGTGTACTACTTTCCATTTAGGTCTATTATCTGCTGTAATTAAACCAGCATTTTCCCTAACTTGTTCACGTTATGTTGCAGGGAATGTTTTTTTTTATTCCTATGCCACTTTTTTTCTAATTCTCCTTTATTTCCAAATTGTTCCATAAGATGCAATAAAATTAAAAAAGAGAAGAATGAATTAAATTAAAAAAATTAGAAAAAAAAGTGCCACAGCACTGACAATTATTGAATGTACAGAACGTGAGCAAATTAGACAGAGATGCCGATTCTATTACAGTACATAATAGATCAAAATAGAAAACAGATGCATGTACATTAATACACAGTTTAGTTTATTGTATGTCAGTAAGCCAATTTATCAACTTGTCTTTATTCATTGTCTTTTTTGTTGACATTACTAGCAAAATGTCAAAAATGTTCAAATAATAATTCAAATTTTCTATGATATGCTAAATATTTGCAGCTTTGTGAGGAATGTCAAAATATTCGTAACCAAGGGTGAAAAAGCAGAGTTTTTTGGATTTTAAATCCGAAAAAATCCAAAAAATCTAAAATCTAAAGTAGTCTTCAACAATGTACTCCAATAATATTTGCAAATGGGTTGAACATAGATAACCAGTTTTAAAGGCTGCTATAAATAGAGAAAAAGCGAATTCACAAGATTCCGCATCCCTATAAGCACAATGGGAATCTTGGGAAAATGATGCATCCTATAGGAAACTCATAAGTTCTAATGAGGAATCTTATAGAAGTGCCATAAGTTCTCAACCCTGATCAATCACGCACGGCGGTAAACGCTACCCGTAAAAGTCCACCGTAACCTACTATCGTAACAATACGGTGACTGTATACTTTGGTCGGAAAACAACGTAAGGCATCATATACACTCTAAAAAAAATTGGTTTTCTACTGAACCCTCAAAAAAGGTTCGGCAGTTTAGAAATAGTGTCCAAATGGCTCAAAATGTTAAAAAAATGATTATTGAAAAGGTTGTACCATTTGTAATTGAATGTTTTTCACCTCTCTTGGAAATAGACCCTAATAGAGAAGAAAAAACAATATTTAGTT